TTGTGTCAACTTGTGTCCTTTGCTGGAAAACATACAATGCCTGATCTTCTATGGTTGTTTTCCAGCAAAGAACACAAGTTGACACAAATCGACACAAGTATCACTCTGTCTTTGTTCGATATTCAATGAGCAACAGAGAGAATAATACTTCTGTGTCGCTTGTGTCTTTTGGTGGAAAACTACCAAAATTCGTATTTTATAAAAAACAAACATAAGAAAAAATAAAAATTATATTCTTTTTTATAAAAAATAAATAAATAAGCAAAAGTATAAAAAATTAGGAAAAAGAAAATACAAGAAATGATAATGTATCCTATAAAGAGCAAAACTTTACAAAAGAAGTATAAAATACTATAAAGACAGATACGTTAGAATAAAAGATACTCATATGTTGTACATCATTTATTTATTATTATTTATAACAATAAAAAAAATATAAAGTAAAATATTATTAATCAGTGATGCGTATCAAAATATAAATTTTTTTGCAATAATCTCGTCTTAATGCTAGAAATACGAATATACGAATTATTATGCGCCTTATTTCTATATTGTCTTTTTTTACATTACGATTTACATTCAATGTATGTATAAATTAGCTTCCGCATACATAAAAGCAGCAGTAGCTAATTGATCGAATATCATACCTGTTGCTTCAGAAACAACATTAATAATCTTTTGCATAATGTAAGAGCCAGATTCGCTTTGCATGCGACGACGTGTCTTTATCCCCCACTGTTTCAAGTTTGCTTTACAGTATTTCCAAACAAAAAGTGAAGCATATCAAGAAATGATCTTTGTCATGTTTCATTAGCGTTGTAGCTAATATTAAACAACATTGTGAGGCAATCTTCACTTATGTTCATAGAACTTAGGTCCTCAAGTATTCGGTCAAAGGTCAGATAATTACCGGCGTGTCGTCGGGATAGAAGTCTTTTTAATAAATCGGTGAAAGCGATTGTTTCAGTAGCTTAAAGTTATTAGAATCATCTTGAGAGTCATCGGACGGATCACTCTGATCGGATTCTGAACGTATACTTGAAATAAGAAGCAAAGCAAAATCTATAGGATTTAACAATTCGATATTACCAATCATTATTTTACCTCCGTCGAATGACCATACGGTATTATGCGAAGTCTTATCGAACATCTGACTACCACGAGCCTGGTCGAAAGACAAGAAGTCTTGACGATTTCGTATAAAGTGTATCACTTCCGCATTTTCGGCTATCTTAGACGTATTGTTCTCGGCAGCCCTTCGCGCGGCACGATTGAATTTCTTACGAAGATTCTTACTGCGTCGAGTTTTCTTGTAGTCATCGATGACTCTACCCTGGCTATCCCTAATAATGTCATTAGCAAATTTAACGTTCACCACGGAGCTGGCGAAGAACATGATGTGCGTCGCCAAATTTAACGCATCTAAGTAACTGAAAGTCTGCTCTTCCATGTACTTCTCGTACATACTGTAACTCATATATACAACACCGACACCATTCAAGAAGATATTACTGCCTTGCACGGTATTAAATACTACTTTCGCAGCGGAAGGTATCGTAGCGCCGTTTGCAGCAGCTTTGGATAGAACCACCGTTCCTCCAACCGCTCCTAAACCAGTCACTGAACCAGTTAAACCGAGCCAACATGGGAATGCTTCTTTGTCCAGAATATAAATAGATTCCTTGTGGTTATAGCGATCCACTAATTCTTGGGTGTTCCGAAAAATTGACCAAGCACCACTCGCAGTAGCAGCACCAGCAAGAGAAATACCTAGAATACATAATAAAATGTGTTTAAAATGCAAGATAACATTTCATAAACTCATAAATTATATATTGAGAAACAACTTACTTGCAACAGGCGCAAGAGGTGTGAAAAGCCCTGCGATACTCAAGCCAAGTGCGCCAATTCCAACTGCAGTGGAGACAAGATCTACACTCGTCAAAACTTTCTTGCTCGTTGTACATGCAGGAGAATCCATGATTTCGATCCAAACTGTCGAATAATCCTCCTCAATAGGATAGTCTGGGTTTGGTTGGTAAAAACCATCTTTTGGAAGCACCATAGTACATTCTTGTAGAGTATTATTTTCTACATAGTCCGACCAACTTTCATAGACTCTGGCATTGGAGTCAATATATAGTGTTTCACAATCTTCACTCTTGGTTAATATAGGCTTCTTCGCCTTATCAACTGTCTCTTGGGTGCTTTTCTTACTTTTAAAAATCTTAAAAATAGGAACAGGTACTACCGATACCTCTTCTTCTTTTACTTCTTTTTTTACTTCTGCTTCAGTTTCTTTTTTTGTTTCCTCTTTTACTTCTTTTTTTCCTTTTCTTTATTTTTTCCTTTACTTACATTGCTATTAAAATAAACTATTACATTATAAATGACACCAAAATAAATTGGTTCAAACGAATCATCTGTTATATTTAAACACTCACATATCTTCTCATATATCTTTCTTATAGCGTTTTCGGCTTTTTCATCATAACCCACTGCATCAGTTATATCTGCTTCTGTATTATTTGGATCTTTTGTTTTGCCATAGCAAGCTACTATACTATTTTCTTCTTTTTTCATTTCCTCCTCATTTTTCGTTGGTGGTCCAAACAATGCATATCCAATATTCTGTTTCAGGTATTTATGTTCGTCCTTTCTTGGATTAATATCAGATTTTTCATATATTGTACAGTCAGGCAGAAGTTCATAGAAGCATTGTTGCTGTTCAACAGCAATGCTCTTCATTTCTTCCTAAAATACAAATATATACTATTAGTATATAATATACATAACATCAATTATTTATATAAAAATAATGCCTCCAGTATTTAATTTCAAGTTGTGTTCAATTTCGGATTGTGTTGGAAAGATAAATGCAAGCAAATTGTGAATAAACTTAATCAGAGTTGGACAGATCAGTTCAAAATAAGTTTTTCAATATATCGCATACATTAAAATAAAACTTACGAAAAGTTGGTCCATATTGGTTTCTTCTTTCTTTGCAGCCATGTTTGTGTAAATCTTGTAGAAAATACAAATCTGCTAACAAAAAAATTACGTTTATAATTAATACATATATCAATTTTTTTTAAATTAGCATTTATTAATATAAAATTAAATTATAAACTTATTCGATTATCATTTTGCTTTTGAAATATCGTGACACCTGTTGCATGATATCACCAAGGGTGGGCAAAAAGTATTTGAAATACAAAATACAAAATACTGTCAATCTTAGTATTTTGATAAAAGATTGATAGTATTTTATATTTTGTATTTGATAGAAGATTGATAGTATTTTTACTTTGTATTTGATAAAAGATTGATAGTATTTTATATTTTGTATTTTAAATACTTAATGATGTATTTTGTCCAGCCCTGGATATCATATATGTATCCTGTCTAATTATAGAGATGAAATCATTTTCTTAATGATTGATAATGAAACAATTTTATCAATTCTATTTAGATATAATAAATCTTCTTTAATAATAAATAACAATATTTCTTTTTGATATTTTTCTGGCAATACTTTTTTCTGATATAAAACGTTTAAATTATTATTGTTAGTATCACTATTATTATTGCCATCGCTATGAGATTTATCAATAACTATACTCTCTGTTCCTCCAACACGATGAATATACATTACTATCATAAATAATTATATTTGCAAAGAATTCTATTCTATTTTACAAAGAAGTTTAAGAAATTAGCAAAGGCGTGGCATAATCACAAAGCAAACTTATTACGCATGCTATATACAGGGTGTCCCAAAAATTTTGACACAGCGGCCGTATGCCGGTAGAGCAGACCAAACTGAACCGAAAAGTCCTCTACCATTTTACAATTTTCACAAGGGTTAAAGAGATATTAATTATTAAAGATTACCGAATGCGAACGCACGACTAAGATACGACCGCCTACAGACTACGGTCGCTTGGCGCGCGGCGTCAGTGTTCCGATTAGGGACCAGTTTGTTTGCGCATGTGCGGCCATACGGCGTCAGTAAAGTGTCTCGTACATATAAAAAAAGGCACCCCGCGTGTTACCCAGCTTCATTTAAAGTAATAAAAATTTTTTTAATGTATTAAAAATAAAATATATATGCATATATATATATATGTACAAAAATACATTATACAGGGTGATTCAAAATAATCTGATGTCCTTGCAATGCCATATTCTTGAGCGAATTCTGAGACGATTTTTCCTTTTACAAAATTTTGTCCGAAGCTTAGTTTTCGAGTTATAATTGAAAATAGGTAGCAACTTACGAGTTCGATACAATGGGCAGGCAGGGACGCGCAATGTATAATGAGACTGTCAAGTGTTTACTGTCGTCTCATGACGCATTGCACCGTCCCTGCCTGTCCGTTGTATCGGACTCGTAAGTAGCAAATTATTTTCAAT